CCAGCGAGACGCAATATTACCCAAAAAAACTTCCCCCCTCCACTTCAGTCCCACGCCTGTTCCATAGGCAAGTAAAGGACACCTGATCCCCACCCATACTCTTCCTAACCCCCTTATTCAACCGCATCCCGCGACAAGCCGACCTCCTCCACCCATAGTTCGCGAGATGAAGAAAAAGTGAAAGCGGACAACCCTCAACTTCCTCTTGCGACAAGCCGACCTCCTCCACCACATAGTTCGCAGAAGAAAACCGAAAGTGATCCACCATCTAAAACTTGCCAGCCCTACCCAAACCTCCAAAACTGATCAGAACCTTCAACCTGCCTGCCCCAAACCAAAGCTAACTCATCAGGGGAGGGCAATCCGAATTTTAAAAACCAAGTTGAGTCATGAAAATCAAGGGATTAGAATTCGAAAGCTGATTTATGAGTATCAGAACTTCATGCAACCGAGTTGAGTCATGAAAATCAAGAGATTAGGATTCAAAATCTGATTTATAAGTATCAGTATCAAGAGACGAAACAATTTCCAAATTAAGAGTTAGACTTATGCGATGGCTCTTAGACATATGTGATAGCTTTTAGATTTGTATATCCGAAAGGATTTTCGAATTTATGGTTGATATGTGATTGATATCAGGGATAGGAAATCAGAACACAACGTATTGGAATTAATAGGAAATCAAAGCACAAAATTAGAACAATCAAGATTCACTCGAAAGTTTAAATCTGAATTAGATTCGTCGTCCTTGGATGAGCATCAAGGATTACAATATGCAAACTTAGGAATCAGAAAATTCAAAAATTCTGAATTAGATCATCATCATTTGATGAGCATCAAGGGTTACAACATGTGAGCTTAGGAATCAAAATAGAGAGGACAAGCAGGCAATACAAAATCAATCAAATCAGAAACCCTGAGATCGTGTCGACGCGCAAACCTTCATCACCCGCAGCAAACTTCACTTGAGATGGCGATGTCGTCCTTCCCCCTTGAAGCGTTATTCTCAATGAAGAGTCGTTCGAAAAACTCCCTCTACCTCCATTTCATCCACCTACCATCACTCAAACCAACCCCCACTACCTTTGTGAGGGGAACATCAAGCCTCCCTCCATCTGCCGGCTATAACAGCCCCAACTGCCGACCACCGAGTCGACACCAGCAACAAAGGTATCAACGACCATCCACAAAGTACTGGATGGTGTGGTAACGCCTCGTTGACCCCGTCGATGAGTTACCACAGGAGATTTAAGCCCTCAACAGAACCCTTTGTCTGCCACTTCAGTATGGATGAAGGAGAGCGGAGGGGACTAAGCTACTAACCATGAACCCTCATCGTCGCCAACCTCTCCTCACGTGGCACCATCACCAACATCTTCATACAAGCAACCCTTACGCATCCTCGTCACCATCCTTCATGTTGTCCTCCGTGCGTCCCAAGCCACTCAACCACCTCCCCTCCCCTCCCCCCGATATTACAGCGCGCCGCCGCACTGCACCCTCCCTCACGTCGTTGCTGCCGCCTGGCGTCGCTCGGTCCGTCTGCGTGGGTGGGGCGCAGCGCTCCCGGCCGCGCTGCGCCCCCTAGTTCATCAGGTCCCTATACCTTTAAAGTTGAACCTATCCCTCAAACTTAACTTCAACACTTACCATGAATCTGACCTAAAATCGAAGTTCGACAGGTCTAATTACCCCTCCCCACGTCTCTCACTACAGATCCTCTGCAGAGCTGGTGGCCAACCAGCAATTCTAGGACTGCCAGCAACGTCCTCAGGAACTTTTTAACGCTGCAGACAAGACGGCGTGGCCACCAGATATAGAGTCTCTCTCAACACTTACAAGCTCCTCACTGCGTCTTTCCGGTTCGGTTGCATGCTGGTCAATACCGATCATTGGGCTAGATGGGTGGTTCAACGAGCGCCTGCCGCTCTTGCCCGTGCTTCCTACTTTGCAGAAGATTCCTCCAGCTGCCGAGCTGCTACCCTATTGATCTACGACCCCTCACTACTCGTGACACGGTTCGGTTGTGTGCCGGTCAGTACCGGTCTTAGGGCTAGACATGTTATTTAACGAGCGCCTGCCGCTCCTGCCCATACTCCCTACTTAACGTGGCGCGGTCCAGCTGTCGGGTCAGTCAACCAAACACACCTCAAGACTTAACCAAGACCAAGATGCAAACTCAAAAACAGCAGAACTGATTGCAACCGAATACATAAAAAAAAATTAGACCCCTAGAGCAGCAGCATCACCGAGAAACGACTTGGGAAATAATTCCATCATCCATTCATCCATCCATACATGCATGGACAAGGGCCAGGGGGCCGGAGCACTTCACTCAGGTCTTGATTGCAGCTCTTCGCTGGTCTTCTGATGCAGGTACACACACCTTCCTTCCACTGCAACCCTGATCGCCCCTTCTCCTTTGGCCCTCACATCGGTCAAACCCCGCTTGAAATCCAATATGCACCCGCCGGCCTGATTCAGCACCGGTCCTCAATCAAACTCCGCAGATGTAGCGGGTCTTCACTCCGATACCAGTGCAATGGACCGCCCGCAAGTCAACACCGAGACTCACACAAACACAGCAGGACATTCACATGAGAGTTCACACATGAAGCCACAGGATTGGAACCAGAATCAGCTCACGAAAGAACTGTGCAGAATTCTTATATTATACAACATATTGTTTGAGTAACCCAGTGGCTTGAGCCACGCCCAACAATCCCAACACCACTCAGGTAAGTAACCGACCTCCCCTCTCCCCGGATCCGGTGGCTCTCCCTCTCTGTCTCTCTGTCTCTCTTCTCTCACTGTCAACTCTTCTATCGCTCAGCCGCACTGCTATCTCTCTCTACCTCCCTAGGATCGACCCTGAATACACCCGCCGGACCTTGCCTTCAACCTCGGCGGCTATGGCCATCCACCTCCTTCCTCCAAGCCTAGCTATGGAGTAGCTGAGTGCCTTTCTTCCACCTTCAGCGCACATCACTGAAGTCGCCTATCGCACAAGCATCCAGCAGCACTTCCACAACTTGCGAAAGGAAGTAGCAGCTAGAAATAGAGTGCTTGACTTGCTCGCGTACTGGTTTCTGGATTTGAAAAACAGAATCTTTTTTCTCTAAAGACCGGCAAGATCTGGCAGACATCATGAGTGACATTTTCTTGATTATGAGAGCCCAAATTTTCTCATCCTTTTGTTCACCCGTACACGCTTGGGGCCAGACCCCAATGGTGCTATGTTCACACTAGGAAATCATGGATATGGCCGTTACTACGACCATGTTCATGTTTCCCAAGCATGAATATAGCACCAGTGGGGCCTTTGACCTTCGGACCCCTAAGGACCCTACCGACCTGAGATTTCAACCTACTGGGACTGCCTGGGAGCGGGACCCTGTGGGACAGGGCCCAACTGGGACTCAGGGACGGGGACTGGGACGTGTGCAGCATGAAATCCTTTCATCATGAACACTCTGCACCTAGATAATGACAAGTGGTTTGTTTTTCTTTTCCTTTTCTTCTGGCGTCATCTGATCTTTTCGGGCAGCCCATGAATCAAACGGCTGAGATAAAAGCTCTCTCTTTCTTTGTTGCTCTCTTGGCTCGCTTGGCTTAAAAACTAAGCTAAACCCGCACAGGTGGGACATGGACGCAGGCCTTGGCTAGAAACAGACAGTGTCATGCACAGCAATACCACAGTCACATGGATGAATTGAACCCTGCTAAACTGTAGCTCATCATCCAGCCATTGGGGATGTCACCCTACACCAGACTCCCCTGGATCAGAGTTCCTGTCCATGCCCGGGGAAACTCGAATTTGTGTTGTGCATGTGAACACTCGTGCTTGTCTGTCAGATGTTGGTGGTAGAGGAAGTGGAAACTGTGGAACTGAAATAGGTGGTGCGTTTTTCGTTGTTCATCCTTGTTTCCATTTCGTTTCTTTTTTTTTTTCCTGTGAGCCCATATGTTAGTAGCAAGAGAACAAGATAGCGAGACACACACAGAGGAAGGGAAGCGGAGGGAGAGAAGGCAGAAAGTGTGATTGGAGAGAGAGAGAGAGAGAGAGAGAGAGAGAGAGAGAGAGAGAGAGAGAGAGAGAGAGAGAGAGAGAGAGAGAGAGAGAGAGAGAGTTGATACCCACTTAGGGATTTGTCAAGTTTGCACCATGTGCTCTACCTTCTTCCACTGAGTGCAATCCTCGGTCATTGTATTTCAGGCCAGATACAGATCATGACCAGGCATTGTGTTCGGGGGGAAGAATGTAGTGCGTTCAATTCAGCCTCCAAATAACTTGGTGAAGCTCTAACGAAACAGTCGTTTGCTGTCCTCTTCTCCCTCTCTGCCCACGGCTCACTGGGTAGTTCTGTATGACAGTATACTATATATAAATGCGGGATATGCCATATGGTGAAATATAGAGAGCTGCCCGGTGAACCATAGGCAGCAAGGGAGAAAAGGGAAACAGATGAAGGCCAGTGACAGACTGTGTTGTTGGAGTTTCACATAGATACGTGCCAATATATATGACGAGATCTATGTGTGTATTGTGCTGGGGTTGCCTGGGACCTTGCCTGGCCACCTCGGCAGCTAGGTATGTCAGTCATTACTGTCTGGTTTGTTGTGTATTTCAAAAGGTTTCACAGTTTGTAGGTTCTTCTATATCGGGTGTTTGATAATGGCTGAGTGGTGGTTCCCTTTCTGTGCTCAGCTTTGTGCAGCGGCTGCCGATTTGTTCATGCCTCCAATCAAACTAAGGAACACTGAGCGGGAGCTGGTTAGCTGAGCTGAAAGCACACAAGCCAAGGCTGAAACAATTCGTGACGTTGATTTTGATATGAAGGGACGCATGGGTGTTCTGCTGGGAAGGAGGCAGATGTGAGTGCTGTGTTAGTTTTGAGGGTGGTGGGAGGGGTAGGGGGGGAGAGGTGGGGGAAGGGGGGTGAGAAGGAGGTGGAGATGAGTTAGTTGAAGCGTTAGGGACTATTTCTCGAGAGAGCCATGGGGTGTGTAGATAATCAGAGGAGGGAAGTGAGAAGGAGATGGAATGAGTTCGTTGAACCGTCAGGGACTCTTTCTCGAGAGAGCCATGGGGTGTGTAAATAATCAGACATAGTACCCCTTCCCTTCATAACTTGTGTGCACCCTTTCCCCCCCTTGCTTCCCGTACTTCTCCTCTTCTCCTTCCCTGGCCCAGGTTTGTCTTGCTGTATGGACAACTCACCCTACTTTAGTTGAGTACGAATAGTAGGTCTCCTTTCGGGCATCACAAAGTAATCTTGAACCAGAAAGAGGGAGTTGGAATAGAATGACGTGCCCTCACTGTTCATAAGCAGAACAGCATGGCAAGCTTATCGTGCGCAGAGCCGGTCACGGGGATGCAGCTCAACGATGAAGGCTCCTTGCCTGGTCAGTTTGCAGTAAGGGGTGTCAGAAGAAGGGGGTGACGCATGATTTTGGTGGGCAGGAGCCTGCTAAGAAGACAGGTTGGGCATCAAACAGGTTGGTGCAAGTCAAGACGGGAGCTCTGCTGCTGACAGGTGTCAGCAGTTTGGCAAGGGTATCTGCTTTCTCCTCTCCAGAAGTGACCAGCTCGGCAACCTCATGGATGCGCTTGTGAATCAACCAATTGTAATTGACAGTGTATGTGCTTTTTTTCCTTTATGATGGACCAGTCCATGCCCCTCCCCTCCCCCTTCCCCTCCCCGTTCCTCATGTTCCCCGCTTTGTTTCTTTGCTCACCTGCAGTGCATGCATGCACGATGAAGGGATCTAGGAGGAGAATTGGACCAAGTTCCAATGAGCTTTTTTGCCTTTGCAGTATTGAAAGTGACTGTTTGTTAAGAGAACATGATGCTTGTCATCTCATGATCCAGACGAGAAGGCAGTATGACTGTGCTGGCGGATGTTGAATGTGTTAGAAAGTTATATAGAAACTGAAACTCTTGAAGCATAGCAGTGCAGCTGGTGGTTTACACCATTTCGGGTCTGAAGCTGCTGCTTGGCCAAGTCTGGACAGCTGGCAGATGTTCATATTGAACTTGTCTGTGCCAATTTAATGCTAACAGCTGGAGCTGGATTTAAGGAGGGGGTCATGGAGGAATAGAGCACATCGATCTAGGTGTCGTGTACATCTATGGTATATCAAAGTTGGCAATGCAGCACCATTTGTATGCCAGAATTAGTTGAGCAGGTGTGCATGCATGTTATGAAATAATAATGGGAGATCACAAGCTTCTTTTCTTTGTTTTTTTCATGATTTTCTCAACTAGAAAAGAAACAGACATACCAGGTCTGGGATCCTGAGTCCGGACTGCACATGCAGAAGCAGGTCTGCACAGAAAAAAAAATCATGAACAGAAGCAGGTCTGCATGAACCGGATCACGATCAAGAACAAGTACCCACTCCCTCGCATATCCGAGCTTCTTGATCGCCTCCGTGGAGCCAAGTATTTCACCAAGATTGATCTCCGTAGTGGCTTCCACCAGATCTGCGTCCGCGAGGAGGACACCCACAAGACCGCCTTTCGCTCTCGCTTCGGGCACTACGAGTTCCTCGTGATGCCCTTCGGACTCACCAATGCCCCCGCCACATTCCAATCTACCATGAATCACATCTTTCGCGACCTCCTCGAAGTTTGTGTCGTGATCTACCTTGATGATATCCTCGTCTTTAGCCCTACCTTCGAATCCCACCTCGAACACCTTCGCAAAGTTCTCTCCATCCTTCGAGAACAAAAGTTTTACGCCAAGCTCAGCAAGTGTACATTTGCTGCCCCTAGCGTAGAATACCTTGGTCACATTGTCTCGGCCGACGACATCCGCATGGACCCCAAAAAGGTCTCCGCCCTCGTCGAGTTCCCACCTCCCTCCACCTTGACCCAACTTCGCTCATTCATTGGACTCGCCAACTATTACCGCCCCTTCATTCAAAACTTCTCCGACGTCTCCTACCCTCGCCATGAGCTCACTCGCGCCAGCGAGTCCTTCACATAGACCGAACGCCGCCAAGCCCCTTTCGACAAACTCAAGCAACTCATCACCACCGCCCCCGTCCTCAAGATCGCTGACCCCACTCGCCATTTCTTCGTCACCACTGATGCCTCAAACTTCACCATTGGGGCTGTCCTGTCCCAACATTTTCCTCCTGACCCCACCGAGATCCCCTCTGTCAAAGATTCCCCTACTCGCTCAAAGTCCCTACCCGGCGAACACCCCATTGCCTTCGCTAGCAAGAAACTCCTTCCCGCGGAGATGAATTACCCCTCCAACGAGAAGGAACTCCTAGCCGTGGTCTATGCCCTCAAAGTCTGGCGCCCGTACCTCGTCGGGCAATACTTCACCATTCGCATTGACAACACAGTCGTCTCCTCCGCCAAGCCCGATGACTAGACTTCCTTGCCTAGTTCACCTTCACCATCTGCCACACCCCCGATAAAAGCAACCGCGTTGCTGATGCCCCATCCCGCCGCCCCGACCACAAGCCCCCTGAGAAAGTCTACGCCGCCATAACCCACATTCAACTTCTTCCCTCGTTACATCGCCGCTACACCCAAGGTTACCTCTCTTGCCCAGACTTCGCTTCCATTTACTACCAACTCCGCAACCTTGACTCAATCCTTGACTACTCTCTCCATGACAATCTACTCTACATTGACACCAAGGGCACTCGCCGACTCTGCATCCTTGACGCACGTGGTCTTCGTACCCAGCTCTTAGCCGAGCACCACGACGCCAAGACCGCTGGCCACCTCGGTTTCCAGAAAACCTTCGACACCATCTCCCGCTACTTCCATTGACCTTCTCTACTCGCCGACGTCAAAGCATACATCCGCTCGTGCCCCACCTGTCAGGCCGTTAATCCCTCGAACCGGGCCAAGCCCGACAAGCTCCAATCATTGCCCATCCCTACCCACGGGTGGCAGTCCATCTCCATGGACTTCGTGTGCGGCATCCCCAAGACCGACCATGGGCGTGATTGCATCTACGTCATTGTTTGTCGTCTGACCAAACGCGCCCACCTCATTCCTTGTACCACCTCGCACAATGCCAAAGACATCGCCATACTCTTCTTCGATCATGTCGCTCGCCACCACGGTCTCCCCGAGAACATCATCAGTGACCGCGATCCCCGCTTCCTATCACAGTTCTGGAAACACCTCTTCCAAGCCTACGGAACCACGCTCAAGTATGGCACTGCATTCCACCCCCAGACCGATGGCCAGACCGAGAAGATGAACGACACTCTCCAAAGAATTCTGCGGAAGTATTGTCATCCACACCAACATGACTGGGATCAATTGCTCACAGCCGTCGAGATTGCCTACAACAATGCTGTCTGCCCCTCCACTGGCATGTCCCCTTTCTACCTCGACCTTGGCTACCATCCCTGCTTGCCCTCTGATTTCTTGCTTCCCTCGCAGCTCAGCCCCTCCACCCCTTGCCCCTCTCTCAATGAATGGGTAGCAACAATGAACAGACTCCTCAGAGACGCAACCGAAGCCCTTGAAAGAACACAAGAACAACAAGCAAACAAGACTAACAAACATAGACGTGACGTGTCATTCAAAGTAGGGGACAAAGTCTGGCTTTCTGCCAAACGCTTTGAACCCGAACAAGGCTTGTCCAAGAAACTCTCGAACAAGTGGCTCGGTCCCTTCCCCATCATTGAACAAACCTCTCCTGTGAATCACAAACTTCAGCTTCCACCTGACATGCGTCGCGTCCACCCAGTCTTCCACATAGAATACCTCAAGGAATACCACAAATCCCCGCCCCAGTTCGCTGACCGCCCTTATCCTAGACCTCCACCAATCATGCTTCCAACAGGCCCAGAATTCATAATTGAATCAATCATAGGACGAAGAACAACTCGAGTATCAGATCACCCGGAACCAATCACCGAATACAAAGTAAAATGGACCGTATACCCTGATGAAGAATCAACATGGGAACCCCTTGAGGGCCCCGTGTGGAAGGGCTCTCGCTCAACGGATCAAAGGTACGCCGGGGATAACAGGCTGATGACTCCCAAGAGCTCATATCGACGGAGTCGTTTGGCACCTCATCATCTTGGGGTACTTACACAGTAATGTGTAGGCGTGAAGCTGGATATATGCTGGGAACTCCGCCGAGTATCCGACCAAATGACAAATGTGTCGGTGCGGACAATCAGCAGGGAAGTCATGTGATAATCTCAAGAATGCCATGAAACTTGTTCGTGCCTATGATCGTGCCTACCCTGTATTCTAACTATACCCCGGCATAAACCCTAAACCCTCGCTTAAAACCCTGCTACAACCTCGCAACCCTGCTCTACACACACGCTTGAACCCAGCCCACCCTCCCCTTGACCCTGATTCCCGATGTCTGATCTGCCCTTGCCCTCGCCTAGCCTTGTCCCATCTGTCCTCTCCACTACCTTATCTCTCTTGTCCAATGCTTGTGGACCTGCGTGACGCCGGCGATAAAGGATCTAATGGCAAACGCACGAGGACGATGGCCTGCTGCCTCACTGATCATGGAGATTATGCAGCTGGTTTGGCCACCATGCTGTTTCATCGGCCGGCATCCCGACTCGCAGACTTACTGGAGCAGCAACTTGTGACATGGATCTTTGCATCAGTCTGCGACTTCCTTGCTTCCAGATCAGACCTCATTGCAGTTCATGTACCAACACACCCTAGCACTTGGACTTTGGACATTTGAACTACTGCTACGCTTCTTGGACTTCTACCTGTCGCAGCCGCTGAGGACCGCTTCTACCACCCACTCCAAGACCTGATCAAGACCGCTGCAGATCCCCTTTCAAACCACTTGGACACTTTGTTCCTACATGACATTTTGCTTCCCACTCCTTCGGACATACCAGCCCCTGCATCCTGAACAAACACTTTCATTTTTCTTGACAACCCTGTAGAACATCATTAGAAAATCCCTGTTCCCCTAACCATTGTTTCCCTTACTCACTAGAACATCAATAGAAATTCCCTGTTTCCCTGACCATTGTTCCCCTTACCCACTAGAACATCAATATAAATTCCCTGTTTTCCTGGACATTGTTTCCCCTTACCCAGTAGAACATCAATAGAAATCCCCTGTTCCCTGAACATTTCTTAGCTTCCCCTGTAGACCTACCCAGTTACATCATACCTTCACCTGTGCAGAACATCTGACAGAATACCCTGTGACTTGCATCACTCCCCTTCTCCTTTTCCGACCAGTGATCAGCCCCGTCCCGTCCTTCACAGTTCTTTTTTGTTTCCTTAGGTTTTTGGCAGCCGGGACATTTCTTTTCAGAGGGAGGGGATAGTGTTACGGACTCCGCCAGGGCCCGACCCCTGGTCTATTTTGTTGCTGTTTTTGCTACATCCCGTTTTTGGCCGGCCACCCTTTTTCCAAACCCCTCCTTTGGTACCGTCAGATTTTGGACAACTGGCGCCATGCTACAATCTGGGCGTCACTTTCAAATACCGCATTTTTCAGTTCTGCCCCTGGGGCTTTTGCAGAGATGCCCCTGGTACCGTACGTGTCACCGACACTTATACCGGCTCCCCGTACAGTACGGGTAACCAGTCTCGTACCAGTTTCAGCTGCTGTACTCGTACTCAGTGTGACTTGCTCCTGTTTTCGGCATTCGGAATCCAAGACTTCGACTTTGTGTCCTTGCCACTGTGTCTGTGTCCGACCCTCAGTCGTGTCGAGTGAGTGAGTGTGTGTGTGTGCTCTCACTCTCTCCCTCTCTCTCCCCTCTCCCTCGGCTCTCCCTGTCTCCCTCAGCCTCACGCTCGTTACAGGATGGAGGAAGAGCCAGACGAAGATGGAGACGAGGGAGAAGACCAAAGTCACGGTACCATAGTCCAAAAACAGTCTCCCAGTCGAACGTCCAGTCCAATCAGTGTCTGCCCCTGTGATGTCGAATCAGATCCTGGGGCCCATAGCACCACATAACCCCTGCCTGTAACCTCTCTCTCGCTCTCTCTGGAAGCAGAAGAAGGAGGAGAAGAAGAAGAAGAGGAAGAAGAAAGATGGGTATGGAAGGTGGAGGCAGAGGAAGAGGAAGAAGAAGATGCTGACCTCTCTCTGTCTCACCTGCAGGAAACCCCCGCTGCCAGGTACTAACGAGATGAGGTGCCCCTCAATGCTGCAGGTCGCCGATGAAGGAGCCAGCTATGGCGCCAGGTGAGTGATACACCCTGCAGGTATGGCCTCCCCCCAGTCTCTCTCTCTCTCTTCTCTCTCTCTCTCTCTCTCTCTCTCTCTCTCTCTCTCTCTCTCTCTCTCTCTCTCTCTCTCTCTCTCTCTCTCTCTCTCTCTCTCTCTCTCTCTCTCTCTCTCTCTCTCCCTCCCTCCCTCCCTCCCTCCCTCCCTCCCTTACGCCTCTACACCTAATGCTAGCGCAGCGCTAAGCATCGAGCGCTGTTCCAGCAGCGTAACGGCCAAGGGGTGGAAACTCCTGTCCCCTTAAACACTGGGCTGGTGCTGGGCCTGGCTGGTGTGCCACTCGTCTGCAACCAGGGTCATGCGATCGTAAGTCCAATCGACGGTCCTGGTTGCAGGCCCAAGTCCTGGGCTGCGCATCAGGATGAGGTACTGGCCTGCCTGGGTCCCTCTCGGACATCCAGGCCTTGCTGCTGATGCAGCAGGGAACGTGTGGTCCAGTTTCTACTGGACGAACCTGAAACTGGTCTACCTCGGCCGAAACGTGGTCCCTCAGGTCCGCACAGACACTGGTCTGTTCGGACAGTCTGATAAGTCCGACACGACGCCCTGGGACAGACAAAAATAGAACAGACAAACAAGTCAGGAAAAACAAAAGAAAAATAAATAACTGCTGACTCAAAAAAAGGACCTGCGTGGCACCCAAAAACGTGCCTGGCCTAAAAGATGGCCAGGGGCCTCCAGGTCGTGCACGAAAATGGGTGCACGGCCTGGGGGCCCTCGACAACCGCCGGGCCCCTGAAATGGGGCCTGTATCCAGGGCTCAGCATGCAACAAAAATGAGAATGAATCTTCGGCTGGAACATGGCAAGATACTCCGCGAAATGCGGCTTGGCCCGCTTGGTGTTCACAATTTTTTTTTTTTTTTTCCCTCTTCATTCTCGCTGAGTTTGCGGCGGGCATCTGCTTGTTTTTCTAAATCATGGTTGATGTGATATGGCTTAGGTGCATCACAGTGACTTGAAAAACATGGTTCGTATGGGGATTTTTTTCACAGCCTGGTCACAAAGACAAATAGCAGATGCATATGGGCTGGGAAAGCTTGCGATACGCCATACATGTAACGAAGTGGAAAGTGAGTTTTCCGAACCAGAATAGGAACAGAGAGTTTGTGGGATAGTTTTGCTTGCTACATTGGAAGACGAGAAGCGAATTGCACTGTATGTCACATTGAGAGAGAGAGAGAGAGAGAGAGAGAGAGAGAGAGAGAGAGAGAGAGAGAGAGAGAGAGAGAGAGAGAGAGAGAGAGAGAGAAAATGCTTTGTTTACGGCCTTGTTTGGAGCCAGTGAGGGAGCGCGAGAGGGGAAAGTGGTGGCTTATATACCGTTTATACGTGCTCTGCTGTATGTTTCAGGGATCAGGAGTTCTTAAGTCTGGTTTTGCTGGCGATGGAGCTCCACGAGTTTCATTCCCTTCCTTGTATCCACTCAATGCATGCCGATATCTGTTTCTTCTCACAGGCTTCCCCTTTGTTCTTTTTTCCAAATTACATGACTGGGACACCAATAAACCTTGACTAAGCTACTGGTAGTGCGGAGCTCAGAGGACTGTTTAAGGGATCAAGAAGTAATTATGATAACTTGTTGCGCTTGGACAGACCAGTGTTCCTCACTACTGATGTATAAACTTGGCCAGCAGTGCGTCCCTTGCATTTGCAATGCAGTACAACCCTCTTTTTTTGGTTTGTTTTTTTGTTTTGCTATGCAGTGTGGCTTGATCTGCACACATCATCAGGGCTTCGTCACACATCATCAGGGCTTCGCCAGCAGAAGAGTCTATCACACACAGTTCGGCTTGATCTGCCAAACTATTCACGCAGTATCTCATTACGATTAGAAGAAGAGAGTGGAGGGGGAACAGAGAGGAGAAGATGGAAGAGATGATCAAAGATCACACAGTAGTAATCCCCCTTCAAACCCCTCTCCTTCTCCGGGCTTCTTCCCTTTCCACATCAACAACCAGTAGATGATAATAAGTATAGTAATCCTGATCACACACAATAGTGCCACGTGGCACTTTATCTCGTGAAGATCATGAAGACAAAGAAGATTCCAGTGACGAGGTTAACCTCAGGTGAGCACCCGATCTCCTTCATCAACAGATCCTCATCTTCCTCCTCCTCGCAGCCAGTCACCTCATGTAGACAGGTGGCATACACCACATCATCAATGAAGATCAGTGGCACATGCCACATCAGCAATGTAGACTAGAGGCAGCACCACATCAGCATGCAATGTAGACCAGAGGTAGCACCACATCAGCATGCAATGTAGACCAGAGGTAGCACCACATCAGCACGCAATGTAGAACAGAGGCAGCGCCACATCAGCATGCCTGGCGCACAGAGCAAGAAGCGCCAGCCTGCTGCCTCCACCTCGTGCCGTCGTCCACAACGCCTATGCACAGCCAGCGTCCTAGCCAGCGTCGCGCCAGCATTATGCCAGCGTCGAGCCAGCGTCTAAGCAGCATGGCAAGACTAAATGTTGACCACCTCGAGGCCAGTCTTTAAGTAGCATTTGACGAGGCTCTCTGGCCTCGGGTCTCCTCCCCTCAGTCGTCCAGCTTGATTCACAGCCGAAGGCCTGGATTGTACAGTTGCAGACCTTCCCCTTGGACCTGATGCTGTCTGGGTACCTGCATACAAACAAATGTGTGTGTCCGACCGGCGGCCTGGGCTGGGTACACTTTGACTTCGACTGTTCGGGTTTCCGTCAGTTGACTTTTGTCAACTGTACCTCGTCCAGGCCCTGAATCTTTTGCTGGGGTCTTTTCCCCCATTTGACCTGGGCCTGGGTGTGGCCTGGCGAGGCCCTCAGTTTCCACAAGGCTTGCTACATGGGGTATTGCAGATGTGGCAGTTTTTTGTGAGTGCAGCACATCGTTGCGATGTCTTAGCAACACAAAACGAGGGTTGCGCTCGTTATAGGACTTAACCCAACATCTCACGACACGAGCTGACGACAGCCATGCAGCACCTGTATGAAGTCAAAGTACATCTCTTACGAGGAGTTTCTTTCATATGTCAAGGGCTGGTAAGGTTTTGCGCGTTGTATCGAATTAAACCACATGCTCCACCGCTTGTGCAGGCCCCCGTCAATTCCTTTGAGTTTCAGCCTTGCGACCGTACTCCCCAGGCGGAGTGTTTAACGCGTTAGCTAGGTCCCTCATCGAATGGCCCCCAAAAACCACCGGGCGTAGACCAAGGACCAACACTCATCGTTTACGGCATGGACTACCAGGGTCATTTTGAATTTAAATCAAAAATGGACTATATCATTACATGCCTATAAATTTTGAAGTTATTTCGCTCAGCCAAACAAAAATTAAAATTCGCCAAAGATGGCGGTGCCAAAACGTGCTCGCCCACTCACTATTTTGTTTTTTTCTTCACTTTTTACTTTTTGTTTTCACTTTATTGAAACGGTATTCACCAATTCGTGGTAGCTGAGGCAGATCCCAGGGCTCGATCCCTAGTTCCCCAACTTACCTGTGTACAATACCTGCGTCAACTCGAAGAGTTGAACCTGCGACCTGTAGAACCGCCAGTGGTAGGTAGGTCTGTCGTAGGTCTATAGGTAGCCAGGATTCGATCCGAAGACCTGTAGATTAGAAGGCTAGCTGCAGTCCTTCTAGAAGGTTGGCAAGTGGTCAAGTGGTGCAGGCAAGTGGGCAAGTGGTGTGACTAAAGCAAGCCCATGTTGGAGACGAGGACAAGTGGCAAGGGCAAATARTAGGACCCCAGTGCAACTGCACTGCGTTGTAGGGTAGTCGCCATGCAGTCATGGGAGAGTCTAGAAAGTACCAGTCCGGTCCAGCAAGTACCACGGGGGGGACTGTGTGCACCATGGGCAAGGGATACAGGGCAGACCAACGCAGCGCAGAAGTATAAATCAAGAGGCTGCGTCCAGCCATTCATTCATTCCTGCGGATGCCATGCGGAAGCGCTACCTTAGCAGCTTGTGCGAGGAGGTCTGCAGTGTGCCCGAAGACGAAGTGGGCAGAGAAGTGTAGTGTAGCGATAGGTAGTGGCAGCTAGCGGGGCCAGAGCTGTAGCATAGCGTGTGTGTGTGTTGCGTATGATACTGAGTGTTGCGTGTGGGACATCCAGGGTGATCCAGAGTGCGAACAGTGAGTTGTGTGGGCGCCCAGTTGCCATAGCCAGTTGAAGAGAACTCATATCTGGTTACGATATCTTAAGTACTGTCAGGGCGCATGTCGCCAGTTGCTGTATCGCTGTTTGCATGCAAGACAAGTGTGAATAATCGGAGTGTGAATGCATTATTGCGGGGCCTAAAAAGTTTTATGATATTTTGAAAATTTGTTAATGAGTTTTGCATTATGTGAAGTACACATCTGTAAATTTTCAGGGCATTTGGCTGTGCCAAGAAAAATGAAAAATTGCCAAAGATGGCGGTGTCGAAAACGTGCTCGCTCACTCACTAATTTTAATTCTCTTTTCATTTTTTCTTATTTTTATTATTAGTTCTATTTTCTGTATTTTATTTTTATTATAAATTTGGTAAGTAATTTGGATGTAATGCTCAGGCAAATGTTGTTTATTTTAGTTTTCTTCATAACATATCTTTTTTTTCAGATTTTTTTGAATTTTTTTTTTTTTTTTTTTTTGGTCCGCGTTTGGCCCGAACGACCGAACGCATTGCAAGGGGTCCCGTACGTTCGACCGTTCGGGTTCGGGCGTTCGGCCCGTCCCGAACGTCGGTTACCCTGTATATATATATATATATTATTTTATTTTGTTTTTTAATTCAGTTTTTGGCCCGGTGGGCAACTGGTCCCGGGCCATTCTGGTAGCATAGCTTCTTAGAGCATTGTGAGTTTCATGAATGGTTTTGATGGTGTGAGCTTCTCGGATTTGGGTTCAATTCTGGTTTATGTTATCTGTTTTGATCTGTGTTTTCCACTTTCCACGTAGGCTACCATCCGGGCCGCCCGGGTCACCCTGTTTTCCCAGGCGGCCCGGCCGTGCAAGGACCCAACAAGGTCCCAGCAAAAAAAAAAAAAAAAAAAAGCATCCCAAAAAAAAACATGTTATGCAGAAAAATAAACTGAACAACTTTTGCCTCAGGGTCACATCGAAATTCTTTACCAAATTTAAACTAAAAAATAAAATTAAAAACATTTTTAATTTTTAATTTATATTTTTTATGGCCTGGCCGGGCAAGTGGTCCCGGGCCACTCTGGTAGCCTAAGCTTTCCACGTGTTTTTTGAACTTTTTCTTTTCTTCTTCCCCCCCCCCCTAAGGGTCTTCGTTTCTTGGTAGTTTTTTCCATTGATGTTCCTGGTTGCATTTTTTTCGTTTGTGATACCTTGCTGTGTGGGGACAATGAGGTTGAGAGTGTTGAGGCCATCGACTGAACAAACTCCAGCAAAGCCATCCTTCCCCAAAGCTTCACGGCGGTGCTTTATGGTCATAAATTCTGCAGAATTGAGACGTTGGCTCTTTGATTTCAGTTTGATGGTACCTTGTGGCCATTTATGTCGTGCTTGACTTCATCCTTTGGAGTGCTTATATCCTTAGCGTACTGAGTTCACAGCATCGGGAGACCTAAGCATGTAAGAGTCATGGAAGGGGGGGAAGCTGCTGACTCTGATTTCTTTATTGGCAATCAGGTCAGTTTCATTCCTTGTGTATTTGTCCTGCAGTGGATTGTCTGAGACACCACTGGCCCTCACCTCCCTCATTACCTTCTTTGTGTGTAGCAAAAAACTTTTGAAAGCTGCTGAAGCTAACTTCTCTATTGGCACTCACCCAGGTGAGTATCATTCCTTGTGAATCTGTCCTTCAGTGGATTGTTTGACATGCTGACCTTCACCTCCCTCATTATGTTCTTTGTGTTTAGCTAAATTTTGGAGCCGACTTGAGGACCCTTAGTTTCCCAGTGGAATGCTTGTTTGCATGCTGTTCGGCAGTTGGATACTGTCTGTCTGTCGTACCCATCCTTTCATCCTGCTGTCCAACCCTCCTGTATAAGGTGAATGCACTGATGGTTTCCTGGTTGTGGATTTTCTCCCCTCGCGTCCACTCTCGTGTAGTTCTCTCGTTCACATATGGATCCTATAAGTATGGCCAGGCTCAAGTTTGGCGTGAGATCATTGTCTTCTTCTTCTTCTTTCTTCTTCCTCTTCTTCCGCTTCTTCTTCTTCTTCTTCTTCTTCTTTGTTCTTCGTCTTCTTCCTCTTCTTCTTCTTCTTTTTCTTCTTTCTTCTTCGTTCTTTCTTTCTTCTTCTTGTGTGAGATCATTGTCTTCTTCTTCTTCTTTCTTCTTTCTTCTTCTTCTTCTTCTTCTTCTTCTTCTTCTTCTTCTTCTTCTTCTTCTTCTTCTTCTTCTTCTTCTTCTTCTTGCTTCCTCCTTCCTGCTTCCTCCTTCCTGCTTCCTCCTTCCTCCTTCCTCCTTCCTCCTTCCTGCTCCCTCCTTCCCTCTTCCTCCTTCCTTTTCCTCCTCCCTCCTCCTCCTTCCTCTTCCTCCTGCTCCTCCTCCTGCTCCTCCTTCTTCTCTTCTTCTTCTGCTTCCTCTTCCTTTTCCTCATCTTCCTCTTCCTCCTCTTCTTCCTCTTC